CCCGAGTAGCTGAGCAGGCCGGAGACGGGGTCCTTTGCAAAGGTAGTCCAGGCACCGCGAAGGAATTCGGCTGTCTCCAACTCCAGGGTTGTACTAGGGGGGTCATGAGGCAGCGTTCCGAAGAGAGGTTGCAACTAGAGAGAGAGAGGGAGAGAAAGAGTGAGCCCCGATGAACCGAAGTGTACAGACATGTGTGTATGTAGTGTGTGTGTGCGTGGAAAACGGGAAGGGTACATACCTCGGCACCATGGTACGCTCCGCTGGGCGGGTTGGTCGAGAGGGCCAGATTGGGGAAGTCACCAAAGTAACGGTACCTCCATGATGGGAGACCGGTCGAGACGGTCTGGGCAAGCCTGATGTTGTCGGCGCAAGTATAGAATCTGAAGTTGAAATCGGCCCAGTAAATTTCGGTCCTGTTAGGCTGGAGACTCTTGAAAGCCCCGGCCTCATTCTCGTTATTACCAACTAGGTACGCGGCGTTTGCAGAACTGCGGTTGGAGTAGTCTCCAAACACGAGCTCGTTATCCACACCGGGGCCGAAGGCGGGAGTTGAACCGATGCCAGTCTCGGCGCTAGAGAAGCCCGCGAAGATCTGCGCAGCGGTGCGGTTCCTCATGCATTCGGTGACGGCGGCGGCGGCGGCGGTGCTACTGTTACTGCTAGAGCAGCCGACAGAATCAGCAATGCGGTACCACCTTGGGGACAGGGTGTCGGCGAGCAGGGCCGGGAAGCCGACGACTGTCGCGCTCTGTAGGATGAAGCCGCTAGCGATGGGATCCGAGGCGTAGGCGAAGGAGTAGAAGTCGGCCATTCCGGAGCCAGCAGACTGGCCAAAGATGGTGATGCGGCTGGTGTCGCCGCCGAACGCTTCGGCGTTATCGCGAACCCACTCCATAGCAACCCTTATATCCAACAGTCCCAGGTTCGAAGCAGAAGCAGGGTCACCCGGGAAACCAAAGATGCCGAGACGGTAGCTGAAGAGAAAGCGTGAGGTGTTACTATGTTCCAAGATATGCAAGTGATCTCCTCCCTTACTTGATTGACATCAATACAACATCCGACGTGTCGGCGATAAACTGTCCGTCGTACATAGGCTGACGCGCACCGCCTACAGCGCCACCGTCAGTCGTAATCAACGTCGTCGTCCTTATTGGTATTGCTTACCGTAAGTATAGGCACCTCCATGTATCCAGACGAGAACAGCCTTCTTGCGCTCTCCGGTTTGGGGCTTGGTCCAGACGTTGATGGATAGACAGTCCTCGCTCTGGGGGAAATCGGTGGGTGTAGGTTGCATACATGCCGGGCCCTAAGAATGATTGCATGACGGATCAGCAACTATTCCGCTCGCCGCCAAACAGCAACAACAGGCAGATGATACCCGGTGTTCTGTCTTTGAGGTGTAGTGGGAAATGCAGGACGGCTGTGTCCAATCAGTCAACTAACAAAGTCGGAGCCATTGATGGCCAACGAGCCGTTGTAGGCGATGGGAGGATGGAAACGCAAGGCTCCTATTGGAGGAACGGCGTACGGAATGCCCAGGTACGCTGAGACTTGGTCGGCATCGGAAGCAGCATGGCCAAAGACACGACCGCTGGTTGTCTTCACTGCTTGACCAACTGTCCAGTTACCGCAGATGGGTTGAGGAGCGGCAAGGGTGGCGGAAGCGAGTGCCACCGTGACTGATGGGAGAAGGTGTTTCATTGTAACACGTTGATTTTGTATAAAGATTGACTGAACGAATGAGTGGATGCTGTTTTTAATGAACGGAAAGAAAAGGCGAGGGGAAAGAGGAAGGCGAAGAAGGAAAAAAAAGTAGGCTTTGAAACAGCACATTGATGTTTCTATTATCAGGAACCTGACCATGTAAAACTAACTGATCCATCTCCCCCATTTACTAATGCACTCCTCTTTCAAGATACCAGATATGTTGACAGATGATCTTGCCGGAGATCATATCATGATTGGACGGGTGTCTCTACGTCTTTTCTGACGATGGTTGAGATATCAACGACACTGCCCACTATCCGCAGGGTTCATCGGCTAACGAGACCCATGTACGTGGATATCCTCTACACCGGAAACGGAAGGTTGCTGACCCGGACTTTCGGTTTTAACGACTTGCTACGTAAGCCCCAAGAAAATCGGTGGTCTCAGCACGGAGTGGCAGGTATGTTTAGCTGAGGTGTATTAGTAAAGAGGTCCTCGGTAGAGGACGTCGTCAGGTGGGAGCACGGCAGTTAGTTTACTTGGTCACTGGGGTCCCTAGTCCAACCTAATCATTCGCGGGTCTCTGATCTTGATTCCTAGCACACGCTCAGTTCTCGCCTGCTTCCCCCAACTATCACAATTACGACATGACGAGGCGCTAACATGAGAATCATTTCTTGTGATTGGCATGGAGTGAAGCTGTGCGAAAGACTACAGATTTAAATAGTTTATACAAGGACCGATGGCTGTCTTGCCGTCCTATCCTTCTCAACCACCACACTCACTTACCGTCTCTTAGTTCACTAATCACCAACTTTCAAGATGAACGCCATGGTTAGTAACTGGAAGATCGTCTCGGTCTGCGGCCTCGTTTTTTCTCAGGCGTGCGCTGCCTCCCCATCAGTGGCGCGTGATGTCACTGCTGTTTACAATGGCCCGAGTTGTCAACAGGCGGTAGGTCCATCCTAGCTAGATGTAGTGATGGTTTGAATCTGACCCGAGTCATACAGTGTGACATCCTGGCCGCCGACTTCCCCAGCAGACTTCACTACGAGGCCTCCGACAGCAACTTCACCATTTGGGATCAGAAGCAGCTCGAGACGGCTTACGTCTGCCGCGTCCAGCCCATCTCAACCGACGAGGTCTCCAAGATTCTCAAGGTACTCGTGGACAGCTGGTGCAAGTTTGCGGTAAAATGTGGTGGCCATTCCCGGAACCCCGACGACTCGGTCTCGGCGGGTGGAGTCACCATCGATCTCGACTTGATGAGCACCATCACCGTATCGGACGACAGGAAGACGGCAAGCATCGGCGGTGGGTCTGTCACCCGGCAGATATACGCTGCTCTTGACCCGTACGGCCTGACCAATGTCGGTGGACGTGTCGGACAGGTCGGTGCGGGCGGCTTCACCCTCGGCGGCGGTACGTCGGCCCTTTCGGCGAAGTACGGATGGGCTTTGGATCACGTGTTGGAGTACGAGGTATGTTGGCTTTGTTGTGTCTTGAATATTTTCCTCACTCATCACCTCGACAGGTTGTGCTGGCCAATGCTAGCGTGGTAAAGGTGTCGGAAAGATCCCACCCCGACTTGTACTTTGCGCTGCGAGGTGGTGGTAACAATTTTGGCATCGTCACGTCGTTCCTTGTCGACGTCTACGAGCAGGGTCCCGTGTACACTGGAGCGCGCACCTTTTCCGACAGCCAGATCGTCCCATTCTTGGAGGAGGTTGAAAAGATATTCACAGTTGAAGACGAGCAAGATATCAATGTCGGACTTGAATACCGCTACACCTTCTCCGCCCAGAACGGCTGGACTGTATCAACCACGCAGCGATACGCAGAGCCCGTCATGAACCCCCCCGTGTTTAACGCCCTCAACAGCATCCCGGCCGTGGGCAACCTCACGGGTGGCATCAACACCCTGGCGAGCAGCACCAGCTTCGTCGGCCAGCTGGGAGTTACAAGGTACTTCATTCCTTAGGTGATGTTCTCCCGTCGAGTTTTACTGACTTGTCTAGGAACCTCTTCACCTCTTTGACCCACTACCCGTCTCTGGAGTTGAGCCAGCAAGGCCTCGCTATCATGAAGAACCTCACCGAGAACAGAAACTTGACCAGCGTCAATCCCCAGCTCATCACGTACTCTATCCCTGCGGCGATGATGAAGAACTCAAAGGCTAGAGGCGGCAACGCTCTCGGTTTGGAAGATGTCTCGGGACATCTCATAAGTACGTCGATACCACCCTCCCTCACCTTCTACCCTTGTTCTCAAGCCAACGCCTGCGCAATCAACGGCGTCTAACCATAGACGTCCAGTCAACCTTTTCGCTCTGAGCTGGACCGACAGAACGTTGGACGATGCAGCAAGCGCGCTTGCGGAAACCTTTATCGCCGACTTCCGGGCGGCGGCAGAGGAGCTCGACGCGTTCCACCCTTTCATTTACATCAACTACGCCAACAAGGGTCAAGATGTTTTTGGCGGATATGGGCAGAAGAACCGGGACCGGTTGGTGGAGATATCGAAGGCGGTGGACCCCAAGGGTGTCTTCGCCTCCTCCGGTCTCTGGACTGGTTTCTTCAAGGTCCGCTAAAGTTTTCATGTCTTTCATTGCTTTCGGTGATAAGTCACTTCGACACGGACTGTTCAGATAGAATTTTCTACTACCTGCAGAACTGCAAGACCTATTCGGAATAATCAGAATTGCCAGACATGTCACATAAGTCATAGCAAGCTTATGATGTCATTCGTAGTAAGGTGATATCCCCATTTGACAGCGTGTGTCGTGTCGTCCGACCGTTGCTTTTTGTGTCGTGTGCATCCCACCTACATGTACTTGATTGATTATCGCAGAAATTCTTCATTTTTCTTCCCGCACTCGTCGGCAGTCGACCGGGCATAAGCTCGGCAGAATTGCTACGCCACTACGGATCTTGGAATTTCGTAGGTACGCGATTCACGAGCAGGGGATGGGATATGCCGTGATGCCCCATGAAATCCCCCCGCACGGCAGTCCATGCATCTTCCGGGTTGTCAGCGAGCGGATTTAAGGGCGTGGAAGCCGGACCCACGGCACCCGGACTCGGTATGGTACCGGCCTGCCCGTCAAGTCCACCGACATGATAAATGCAAAGCCCATTCGCAGCCTTGATCAACAGTGGCAAGTTCAATGTTCCGCCCGTTCTGCATCCATTAATTTCGGACAATCCTGTCATATCGTCATGTACGGAAACGCAAAGCTCTTGTCCCTGCCCATTGGAAGTATGCTGGCTAACGTATCAAAGAATATCTCAACCATGTCTACTACCACTCTGCCCTTCAGTGACACCCAAGTGCAGGTCCCCGGTTTTGGGGCCATGGGCTTAAGCTCTGCCATGGGCAGCGATCTCAGCTATGACCAGGCCGAGCCAGTTCTGCTCAGGGCCGTCGAGCGCGGTTGCACATTCTGGGATACTGCCGTAGGTCACTCACCGTCGTCAAGTCGACGCCATGGGAGACACCCAATCAATCATCTGACAAGCACACCAGGTCGCATACAAGAACGGCGCCAACGAGCAGCTTCTCGGTGACTTTGTCAAGAAGCACGACGTGCGCGACAAGCTCTTTGGTGCGTCTCATTATTGCATATGCGCTTGCACACAAACGGCAAGACTGACTGCTGTTGCTGCTGCGTAGTCGCATCCAAGTGCGGATTCGACGTCTTTGGCCCGCAACGCACGGTGACGAATTCGGCATCCCACATCAAGGAGTATATCGAGGGTACAATCGACAGGCTCGGCTTCACTCCTGACCTGTACTACCTGCATAGGATCGACCCGAGTAAGTCCCGTTCCCATCCGGAACCCGTCCTCACACGCTGTTAACTACATAACCACTTACGCTCGAGTCAAGACACCCCGCTCGAGGAGTCCATCGGCGCCCTGGACGAGCTCCGTCGTGCCGGCAAGACGAAGTATATCGGCCTGTCTGAGTGCTCTGCCGCGACTCTGCGCAAGGCGAATGCGAGTACGTGTGCTCACTAGAATCATGCGGGACAGTGCTAAAGTAGATATTGCTTCTTGCAGTTGCAAAGATTGATGCCATCCAAGCTGAGTACTCGGCGTTCGAGACTATCCATGAGACAAACGGCCTCATTGAGACTGCTAAGGAGCTTGGCATTGCTTTTGTGGCATTCAGCCCCCTCGGACACGGCTGGCTCGTTGATGACTTCCCTTTTAAGTCTCCCGACGACTTCGGCCCAACCGATTTCCGACGCACCGGTAAGCACTCCCCCTGTTGGAGCTATCGACCCACGTGCCTCTCTACTTACACTACTTGTCCGAATGCCGCAGTGCCCAAATTCCAGGGCGACAACTTCTACCGTAATAAGGCCATTGTCGACGAGATTAAGAAGCTGGCCACGATCAAGGGATGTACGGTGGCTCAGATTGCACTGGCCTGGGTCGCCGCCCAAGGCCTCATCGCCATTCCCGGCACGACTAAGGCCTCACGCTTGGATGAGAATTGGGATTCGCGCAAGGTTGTCCTTACTGAGGACGAACTGAAGGAGATGCGTCGCATCGTTGATGAGGCCAAGCCGATCGGTGCCAGATTCGCCCCTATCTTCGAGTCCATGGTTGGACACTAGACCGTGCATCTTGACATCTTGATCTTGTGTGTCGGAGTCTACCGTCAAAAGAGAACATCGAAACCGCTGAAATTGCTTCCCGTTCCCTGGATCAAATGTGGTGAATGAGATACAAAGTAGTAGGCGTCTTGTTCACAAGCGAGCGGGCTCACCTGCGCGCCACAACCTGGAAAGAATGGCCAAACCCCGTTGGCAGTGTAAACAATACGTCAATAACCTGCAAACTAGTTTCCCTCACGGTGGAGTATCACTAGAAGGCCGCTCAAGTAACACATATCAAAGGGATGCTGTAGTAAGGAACACAGACGCCAGCAGATTTACCGTTCTACCGTTTAAACCGATGGAGCTGAGAAGTAACCTGTTAAGACTGGTTCAATTGCCTGTGCCGCCTGAAACTGGCCTGCATGGGGCCTCCAGCTATAGCAGAGCCATGCCATTGGCTGGATCTCATTCAAGCCCCCCCAGCAAGCTATCACAGCTTATCGAACCGACCGTTATCGAAGATGGTTGGGCAGGTCCGGTGTTCAGAATGAGGCCAGCGGAGTAGTGACAAGATGTTAAGAGCGGACGGTGGGGGAAAACCGGTTTGTAAGTAGCTCGCATTGTAAGTCACTGAACAATGAACACGTATGAAATCCGCGTTTGTCGGCGATGTCGTCCGAGTAGAGTGTTCCGCCGGGCTCCATCGGAGATTTCATGGCATGATTCTTCGGAGACCGAAACCGGGGGCGGACGAGGCCCCACCGCCGCCCCTCATTCCAGCGTGATGTCACGGCGGGTCAGCCCGCAATGTCGGGCGACTTCTTTTCCGCGTGCTTCTTCAACTCCGAGCTCTCCTAAATTTCCCCCAAAATTCGCTCAGGACAGGAGTTCACGATTTTCAGTCAACCACTATTGTCAAAATGGCGACGTCGAAGTACAACCTGGCCACCAGGCTAACGGTGAGTCGCCTTCAACCCCTCATTACATGTGATGACGATTATTGACCGCGAATAGCTGGCCAATGGCAAGACAATCCCTCAGATCCAGCTGGGTCTGTACTGCATGTCCGGGAGGGAAGCCACCAAGACCATCCCCTGGGCTCTGAACGCCGGCTACCGCGGATTCGACTGTGCGCAGATGTACCGCAACGAGCGCGAGTCTGGCAAGGCGATTATCGACTACCTGGCCGGTAGCGAGAACGCCCAAGGTCTGAAGCGTGAGGACGTCTTCTATACGACCAAGCTCGCTAGCTGCAGCACTTCTTATGATGAGGTTCGCCAATCTATTACCGAGTCCGTTAAGGTTTCCGGTCTTGGCTATGTCGACCTGTTCCTCCTGCACAGCCCGTACGGTGGCAAGGAGGCACGCCTGACCAGCTGGAAGGCTCTGGAGGATGCAATCACCGAGGGCGAAGTGAAGATGGGGGGTGTCAGCAACTACGGTTCTGCCCACGTGAGTCTTGCGCTCATTTTCACATGAGAAACAAGATCTCCAGGAACATCAGACTGACAGTACCGCAGATTGAGGAGCTCATGGCCTCCAAGCCCCGCATTGCCCCGGTCATCAACCAGATCGAGGTTCACCCCTTCAACACCCAGACCAAGATCAGGCAAACTTGCGCCAAGCACAACATCGCCATCGAGGCGTACGCGCCCCTGGCCCGTGGAATGCGCATGAAGCACCCCAAGATCCTGGAGCTGGCTCAGAAGTACGGCTGCAGCCCGGCTCAGCTGTTTGTGCGGTAAGTAACGCCCCATGAATCACTTTTTGCATGTGTTGCATGCTGATGAGTTTTTCTGCAGCTGGTCTCTTCAGCATGAGATGATCACTCTTCCGAAGAGTGTCCGCCAAGAGCGGCTCATCGAGAACGCCGATGTTGGAAACTTTGAGATTTCCAAGGAAGATCTGGCCGTGATGGATGGTCTTGATGAAAGACTTGTGACTGACTGGTGAGTTGTTCGGGCCTTTCGTGAGAAACAAGACTAACATTAGTAGGGATCCTACTGAGGCCCCTTGAGAGATTCAACGACCGCTATCAAGATAGTACGCATGTTAGATGAAGATTCATTTAGCTAAAGCTGAATAAAATGAGAAATGACCCCATGTAGCCTTTGATGCGACGCCAAACTCGGCTTACGGCAGTGAGCCAATGAGTATGCTGTGCAGCTGACGCCATGTGGACCGTCACCTATCTAGCATCTCTCTTAAAGCATCTACTTCGGCTTCCTTCCTCACAAGCTTGAGCCTCAACTGATTCCGCTCCTCCTCGACGTTCTTCAAAGCAGCCTCCAGCTCGGCGATGCGGTCTCTGCCCTTTTGACGGTATTTTCGAGCTGCCATGGTGTTCCGTTGTCTTTTGGTCGCGGCCATGTCTTCATTACTGGCTGTATCTCCTTGGTTGTCGTCTGCAGAATTGGCCTTTCGCTTCGATACCGACCCAGAAAAGGGTGTCCAATCCGTGACTTTTGGCGCCGGACCGCGCAGTTCCGGAAGAACTGATAAGTGGTGATCATGGACCAGTGGATGATCACTTCCTCTGTCTAATCTTTCGAGGGGGTCGTGTTGATAGTCATGTGGCTCAGGGCACTCGATGTACCGTGAGTCTTCGACGCGGATAGATGAACCTGTAGTTCACTTGTCAGCATGCGGTTTGGATAGAAGAGATCTTTAGCCTGATGGATTACTCACTCTGGGTTTGCTGTGCTGCAGAACAGTTGATCGCATTCAGCAACCCCAAAAGGCTATCCTCTTTAGCATCGCCGATCCCACTATTTGCTGCATTATCAGCCGACTCTAATTGCAAGTCCTCCGAATCGAGGCGAGGATCAAGACGAAGGTTGTCGGTGTACGGCGGGGCGTCACCCGTGGAATTTGAAGAGTCCTGCGACCATCCAAATCTTGGTTCCAGGTTGTCGACAGTCGGCCACCATGTGCCTTGGCCAAGGGGGTTCAGGTTCCTTGGGCTGCTGTGGCCGGACGGGTTCCAGGCGGTATCTAGGCTCGAAGCGTACGACGGTGGACATTTGCGTCTCCATGAACTCAGGATTGGGTGCCTCTCCCTGTTGATGGAGAGGCTGGCTAAGAGGTATTGATTGAAATTGATGAAAGGGAGCCGGTAACGGCCAGATCGGGCTACCGTATTCGAAAACCTCAGAAAAAAGGCGTGGGTAGGGGCTTGTGAGGAGTTGGAAATGCCAAAAGTTTTCCGTTTAGCTGAAGACGTGGTTTTCGCGAAGTGAATGATCGCTCTGATTGGTGGAGGCTAGTGAGTCACGATGGCTCATAATGATGGCAGCGCATGGGCCATGCGGAGGAGCATCGACACTGATTGTTATTGTTGAGTTTTGAACTGGTGCAGGATAACGCAAATCAGATCTGTTTCAGGTTGTACTGTCTGTAGAGTTGCATGATAGAAGATCACCGCAGTTTTAGTGGCTGAGGTTTCTCTAATTGAAGTTGCCTGGGCTAGCGAGACCATGTCCCTTCCTTGCCCCGCAACGACAAAGCTTCTAAGATGTTAATTAAACATATTGTAACGTTCGCAAGCGTAATATGTCAAAAGCCTGGCTGTTTGAGTTTGCTAATTATCGCATTGATCCGATGAACGTGGGGTGTATCATCGTCGGCTGAGCAAAGACGAACGAAACTCCCTAGTAGCCTTGGACATCTCTGCAGTTGTCTTTGGTGTAATGGAGTGCCGGGGATGTATTTTTGCATTCAGCTTAAGCTTCAATGACATTCTAACTTAAGAACCATATCTCAGCATTGGTAGATACTGACGTAAAACCCCCAACCCTCTGACTGCTCTGTTGCTTCGGAAGATACACAAAGGTCACCAGCTCAAAGCCTCATACCGGGCTGCTGCGCGAATTGGTTCGATGACAGATCTGGCTCTCATTATGCTTGCTGCCTTGCATCCTGTAAGAAATCTTAACTCGCCTTCTACGGCCAAAATCTGAGGTGCAGCATGCTAACGCAGCGAAAAGGCCATGTAATAACGACAGTCTGATTGAAGTCAACTGTATGCCGAGTTAGAAACCGAGGTCTCATGCAGTACGAAAAGTATAAACCTTACCAGACCATGCTTCTACGTCCCTATGGACAACCGTGGCCTTTTCAGCTTTAGCAGTTACTAATAACACATTGTTGATCGATGAGTAAAGTCGGAAGTAAATCGGCAAGCGGAGGCAATTAGGTCCCGGCGGAATGGTGGGGGCTTGGAAACTTCAACTTCGGCCTGGCAGCAGATTCCGTTCGCCGTGAACGCAGCTACTCGCGGAAGGTTACGGATTGATAATGTAGTGATGGCAATCGGCAGTGGGTATCGCGTGCTGTAGTGCTGGCTAATCATGCGAGATCTCCAATTATTGCGCGATGATGTGACGAAGGCGGGGCGAGGCCGTCGTCAATGCGGCTTGAAGGCATATAAGGAGCTGCATCCCTCTAAGACTTTCAATGAACCAACAAGAGCGGAATTAACACATAAAAATTGAGTTTCTCTCACGTATACTCAAACATTTCCTCATCTAAATATCACCATGTCTGCCATCAAGAAAGTCGCTATCATCGGGGTAAGTTACGCCTTGAGCTCACTTCATAATCAAACGTTCTGATCCCTGTAGGCCTCCGGAAACCTTGGCCTAAAGGTGCTTGCTGGGCTTCTCGAAGGCGGTTTTGAAGTCACTGCCATCAGCAGGAAAGAATCCAACGCAACATTTCCCTCTGGAGTTGCTGTTAAGAAAGTCGATCTGTCTTCGGTTGAATCTGTTACGGAAGCCCTGAAGGGACAAGACGCCGTGGTCTCTACGGCTGCAACGGCAGCGGTTGGCGCGCAGAAAGTCCTGATTGATGCCGCTGTTGCTGCGCAAGTCAAGCGATTCATCCCGTCTGAGTTCGGAATTCACACTCGTGAGGCCCAAGGGACCAAGATCGGTGCGATTTTGAAGTCCAAGGTTGACAACACCAATTACCTGATCGAGCTATCTAAGAAGCATGATTGGTTTAGCTGGACGGGCATC